TACACCAAACTGTGACATACACCAAACTGTGACATACACCAAACTGTGACATACACCAAACTGTGACATACACCAAACTGTGACATACACCAAACTGTGACATGCACCAAATTGTGACATGCACCAAACTGTGACATGCACCAAACTGTGACATGCACCAAACTGTGACATGCACCAAATTGTGACATACACCAAATTGTGACATACACCAAACTGTGACATACACCAAACTGTGACATACAACAAACTGTGACATACAACAAACTGTGACATACACCAAACTGTGACATACACCAAACTGTGACATACACCAAACTGTGACATACAACAAACTGTGACATACACCAAACTGTGACATACACCAAACTGTGACATACACCAAACTGTGACATACACCAAACTGTGACATACACCAAACTGTGACATACACCAAACTGTGACATACACCAAACTGTGACATACACCAAACTGTGACATACACCAAACTGTGACATACACCAAACTGTGACATACAACAAACTGTGTATTACACCAAACTGTGACATACAACAAACTGTGACATACACCAAACTGTGACATACACCAAACTGTGTATTACACCAAACTGTGACATACACCAAATTGTGACATACACCAAACTGTGACATACACCAAACTGTGACATACACCAAACTGTGACATACACCAAACTGTGACATACACCAAACTGTGACATACACCAAACTGTGACATACACCAAACTGTGACATACACCAAACTGTGACATACACCAAACTGTGACATACACCAAACTGTGACATACACCAAACTGTGACATACACCAAACTGTGACATACACCAAACTGTGACATACACCAAACTGTGACATACACCAAACTGTGACATACACCAAACTGTGACATACAACAAACTGTGTATTACACCAAACTGTGACATACAACAAACTGTGACATACACCAAACTGTGACATACACCAAACTGTGACATACACCAAACTGTGACATACACCAAACTGTGACATACACCAAACTGTGTATTACACCAAACTGTGACATACACCAAACTGTGACATACACCAAACTGTGACATACACCAAACTGTGACATACACCAAACTGTGACATACACCAAACTGTGACATACACCAAACTGTGACATACACCAAACTGTGACATACACCAAACTGTGACATACACCAAACTGTGACATACACCAAACTGTGACATACACCAAACTGTGACATACACCAAACTGTGACATACACCAAACTGTGACATACACCAAACTGTGACATACACCAAACTGTGACATACACCAAACTGTGACATACACCAAACTGTGACATACACCAAACTGTGACATACACCAAACTGTGACATACACCAAACTGTGACATACACCAAACTGTGACATACACCAAACTGTGACATGCACCAAACTGTGACATGCACCAAACTGTGACATGCACCAAACTGTGACATGCACCAAATTGTGACATGCACCAAACTGTGACATGCACCAAACTGTGACATGCACCAAACTGTGACATGCACCAAATTGTGACATACACCAAATTGTGACATACACCAAACTGTGACATACACCAAACTGTGACATACAACAAACTGTGACATACACCAAACTGTGACATACACCAAACTGTGACATACACCAAACTGTGACATACAACAAACTGTGACATACACCAAACTGTGACATACACCAAACTGTGACATACACCAAACTGTGACATACACCAAACTGTGACATACACCAAACTGTGACATACACCAAACTGTGACATACAACAAACTGTGTATTACACCAAACTGTGACATACAACAAACTGTGACATACACCAAACTGTGACATACACCAAACTGTGTATTACACCAAACTGTGACATACACCAAACTGTGACATACACCAAACTGTGACATACACCAAACTGTGACATACACCAAACTGTGACATACACCAAACTGTGACATACACCAAACTGTGACATACACCAAACTGTGACATACACCAAACTGTGACATACACCAAACTGTGACATACACCAAACTGTGACATACACCAAACTGTGACATACACCAAACTGTGACATACACCAAACTGTGACATACACCAAACTGTGACATACACCAAACTGTGACATACACCAAACTGTGACATACACCAAACTGTGACATACACCAAACTGTGACATACAACAAACTGTGTATTACACCAAACTGTGACATACAACAAACTGTGACATACACCAAACTGTGACATACACCAAACTGTGACATACACCAAACTGTGACATACACCAAACTGTGACATACACCAAACTGTGTATTACACCAAACTGTGTATTACACCAAACTGTGACATACACCAAATTGTGACATACACCAAACTGTGACATACACCAAACTGTGACATACACCAAACTGTGACATACACCAAACTGTGACATACACCAAACTGTGACATACACCAAACTGTGACATACACCAAACTGTGACATACACCAAACTGTGACATACACCAAACTGTGACATACACCAAACTGTGACATACACCAAACTGTGACATACACCAAACTGTGACATACACCAAACTGTGACATACACCAAACTGTGACATACACCAAATTGTGACATACACCAAACTGTGACATACACCAAACTGTGACATACACCAAACTGTGACATACACCAAACTGTGACATACACCAAACTGTGACAAACACCAAACTGTGACATACACCAAACTGTGACATGCACCAAATTGTGACATGCACCAAACTGTGACATGCACCAAACTGTGACATGCACCAAACTGTGACATGCACCAAATTGTGACATACACCAAATTGTGACATACACCAAACTGTGACATACACCAAACTGTGACATACAACAAACTGTGACATACAACAAACTGTGACATACACCAAACTGTGACATACACCAAACTGTGACATACACCAAACTGTGACATACAACAAACTGTGACATACACCAAACTGTGACATACACCAAACTGTGACATACACCAAACTGTGACATACACCAAACTGTGACATACACCAAACTGTGACATACACCAAACTGTGACATACACCAAACTGTGACATACACCAAACTGTGACATACACCAAACTGTGACATACAACAAACTGTGTATTACACCAAACTGTGACATACAACAAACTGTGACATACACCAAACTGTGACATACACCAAACTGTGTATTACACCAAACTGTGACATACACCAAATTGTGACATACACCAAACTGTGACATACACCAAACTGTGACATACACCAAACTGTGACATACACCAAACTGTGACATACACCAAACTGTGACATACACCAAACTGTGACATACACCAAACTGTGACATACACCAAACTGTGACATACACCAAACTGTGACATACACCAAACTGTGACATACACCAAACTGTGACATACACCAAACTGTGACATACACCAAACTGTGACATACACCAAACTGTGACATACACCAAACTGTGACATACACCAAACTGTGACATACACCAAACTGTGACATACACCAAACTGTGACATACACCAAACTGTGACATACACCAAACTGTGACATACACCAAACTGTGACATACACCAAACTGTGACATACACCAAACTGTGACATACACCAAACTGTGACATACACCAAACTGTGACATGCACCAAATTGTGACATGCACCAAACTGTGACATGCACCAAACTGTGACATGCACCAAACTGTGACATACACCAAATTGTGACATACACCAAATTGTGACATACACCAAACTGTGACATACACCAAACTGTGACATACAACAAACTGTGACATACAACAAACTGTGACATACACCAAACTGTGACATACACCAAACTGTGACATACACCAAATTGTGACATACAACAAACTGTGACATACACCAAACTGTGACATACACCAAACTGTGACATACACCAAACTGTGACATACACCAAACTGTGACATACACCAAATTGTGACATACACCAAACTGTGACATACACCAAACTGTGACATACAACAAACTGTGTATTACACCAAACTGTGACATACACCAAACTGTGACATACACCAAACTGTGACATACACCAAACTGTGACATACACCAAACTGTGACATACACCAAACTGTGACATACACCAAACTGTGACATACACCAAACTGTGACATACACCAAACTGTGACATACACCAAACTGTGACATACACCAAACTGTGACATACACCAAACTGTGACATACACCAAACTGTGACATACACCAAATTGTGACATACACCAAACTGTGACATACACCAAACTGTGACATACACCAAACTGTGACATACACCAAACTGTGACATACACCAAACTGTGACATACACCAAACTGTGACATACACCAAACTGTGACATACACCAAACTGTGACATACACCAAATTGTGACATACACCAAACTGTGACATACACCAAACTGTGACATACACCAAACTGTGACATACACCAAACTGTGACGTACACCAAACTGTGACATACACCAAATTGTGACATACACCAAACTGTGACATACACCAAATTGTGACATACACCAAACTGTGACATACACCAAACTGTGATATACACCAAATTGTGACATACACCAAACTGTGACATACACCAAATTGTGACATACACCAAACTGTGACATACACCAAATTGTGACATACACCAAATTGTGACATACACCAAACTGTGACATACACCAAATTGTGACATACACCAAACTGTGACATACACCAAACTGTGATATACAACAAACTGTGACATACACCAAATTGTGACATATACCAAATTGTGACATACACCAAACTGTGACATACACCAAACTGTGACATACACCAAACTGTGACATAACCAAACTGTGACATACACCAAACTGCGACATACACCAAACTGTGACATACACCAAACTGTGACATACACCAAACTGCGACTCACCTCAAGCACTTTGTTCTTCATGTCAGTGTTGACAGAGCCAGCCAAACAGCAGTGAGATATAGCGTTGACTATGATGTGGCGGTTTGATTTAGCACTTGGTTTGACAAACAGTTTAGGGCCTGGTTAAAGTAGTAGTAAACAAATAATAAATAAAACAGTTTAACTACACAAATATTACATGTTTGTCATAAAAGAATAGCATCAAAAAGATGTTAAATTTTAAATGGTGCATTTTTAATTTGATGCACCAGACATCTCCCCTCCCATTAACTTTAGAAAAATCATTTAATGTCAAATTAGTTTTTCTTTTAAGAAATATAGCATCTCAACATTCAATAATTGATTCCACGAATCACTGTTAATAAATGTCTAAAGACTGCGTTGTTAGTCTAAAAATGGTTTTTATAAAATGTGACACAGCTCTGAACCAGTCCCTCACCGGCATAGTCAGAGCCTGGGTTTGAACCTGAACCAGTCTCACTCCCACTGTCCTGGCTGTTGCCCCTCTGTCTCTGTTGTTTGATTCTGTACAAGTCAGGAGAAGGGGGTCGCCTGTAGGTAGAAGGACCTTGACCTCCATTAGGTGACCCTTGAAGTGTGTTGCAGGACACTGGGGAGAGAGTGGGGTCATAAGGTCAACGTTTACTGTCACGGTCTGGCTAGTACACAGCTTACAATACAGATGACAACATGACTAGCTGACTAAAACATCTCAATCAATATCTAGCAGGTGCGACAATGTAAGCTGTGCTCTGTCAAAGCTAAAATCTAAACACTGAGTGCAGGCTCTGTAGCAAATTAGTTACAACAGCCATTACAATCTTCTTTATCTTATCTTCAGGTGAATGTTTGGGGATGTAAAGGGGATGTGGGGACGGGGGTATGTAATAAATTTTCAAGTCTAACACGTCTTTCTTTCCTACTTCAAAAAAAATTAATTAACCACCGTCAGTTGTTAACAAACATATATTATTTTAACCACTGACATTTTATCAACAAACATCCATTATTTAACCAGTCACATTTGTCAACAAGCATTCATTAATTAACTGCGGAGTAGTTGGATGCTTGTAGTTGTTCTTAGACAAATCACGTATCTAATGAATACAACCTTAAATCTTATTAACTCATGCTGGACCATTTTTAGTATTTTTAGCAATGACAATGCACAGCACATTTAACATTCTAAGTCTATTGTTATCTACATTTAAACTTGAAAAAAATGTTTAAAAATTTACAATAATTAAAAAATGTATCAACCCCACTCATGCAGAAACAACATGTGTCTGGGGGGTCTGGCTATCCACAACCCACCCCTGACACCACAGGTACAATACCTGCTTTCCTGATCTGACTAGGTGGAGGTAGTCTAAAGGCATACGCTGATCTCATAGCTGAAACAGGGGGACCATCCAAAGGTGCAAACCAAATGTGGCAAAAATTGCAGGAAAACAAAAAAAGTTAGAAACAAAACAAAAAAGGCTGGAAGATGCCATATGTTATAGTCATCTGTAGCATGCCAGTGTGCAATGTGTTATGACAGGGAGATTTACATTTATACTAGTGCTGTGTGCATATTTAAACATGTGTTACGTGTAGATAGTGCAGACATGTTAATCATTAATTACATTTACTTATAGTCTAATGTTTTTACTCAACATGGTGGTTATCTTTACAACACAATGTATGACATCACTTCATGCACAAGACTGACTACAGTCAACAAAAAGTTTGACAAATCTGTCATCACAAAAGGTAAAGTTCCATTGGCCAAACAGATCAATTATGCAGCCATGACATTGACATTATTTTCTATTTTGTTCCTTATTCTGATATTACTTCTGGGGTTACTTATAATAGACTGAACACAATAACTAACCCAATTAAAATGGATTTTTTAAATAAAGTTAAAATGGATATTTACAAGGAAATGCTAAGATAAACATGGACTTTGAAACAGGTGAATGCTGTATTAGTAAAATTTGAATTGTAATTGAGTAAATGAAATGTTACTGTTGCTTTGATACACCACCCCACCTCCCACTAGATGTCCCACTAGCATGCTACAGCCACTAACATAGCTAATCTAACAAATAATAAACATCAGATTGACACAAGAGCCAACAAGACAGCTTGGATCACAACATTTCCATCTCAACAACAAAACTAGTTGGTATTTAAATGTTAAGTTGCTAATTATAAAGATCCAAGCATGTCTTATCAGCTGTGCCAGCATATAGATATAATAAAATAATAATACAAGAGCAAGCTCATCCAGCCCCAAGCCTTTTGTCACACACAAGCCAGCACATATCAAGTCAACAAGACAAAGAAAAACTAGGCAGCATATATAAAGTCAACAAGACAAAGAAAAACTAGGCAGCATATATAAAGTCAACAAGACAAAGAAAGCTGCAACAATCACTAGCTGGGAAACAGCATACTACAACTGGTACTAACCCAGCCCCATTTATTTTACAACTAGCATGCCCGCCCCGAGCGTTGCAGCGGTCTCAGAAGTCTGACGCAATATTTTAAGAGGGTTTCAACGATGCATTACTGATTCTTAGGTGTATGATCTTGTTTTCTAAAACAGTCATTTAAATGTAAACAATGCCTGCGCTACATTTCTTTCTATTCAATACCGTTCAGACACCCCAGGGAGTGCCATATGAAAGCCTGGAGTGTATGTTAATCACTCTCCGTAATAGTGAGGTAGAACACACTTTGGCGACCACCCAGGTATCAAGGATCAGGGACGTAGCGGGGCGCTCTTGGGAGTCTCCTGTTTCACAACCGCAGGGGCACCGCACGCTGCCTTAGTTCAATCATTGAATATTGTGTTACAGTGTCAATATTGTAGAATGATCTTTAAAACAGACGTAGTAACCATAGCGCTCACAGGATAGCCAGGGCGCCAATTCTCACCCTGCCATACACATAAGCTGGCTGAGATTGACTTGTTACTGGCACTGTGCCCATCACCAACAGGCAAATGTGATTCTTGGGTCTCAAGCAAAATGTACAACAGACATTCCATTGTAAACATACATCAACTTTAAAAGACACGGAAGGAAAATTAAACAAAATGTATAGACATTCCAATGTTAACATAAACTTTAGATAGACAAGAAAGACAAATTAAACAAATAATACTGTAGGTACCAAACAAAACTGATACAGGCATACAAAATCAAAGAGTGCAGGACAAAAGAACAAAGTGTAGGTACCAAATGATACAGGCATACAAAATCAAAGTGTGCAGGACATAGGACAAAGATGCAGGACATACCTGACATGACACTAGGAGTTGATCTGCCACCTGTCCTGACAGTTAGGTCCTCCTGTGAACTACTCCCTGAGTCTAGGCCGCCCATGGCACCTGGTTGACACACAATGTAATTTTATTTCTTAAACAACAGACTGCTACAATCACAGCTGGTTAAACATAAATATATCAGGGATAGGAAACTACTAAATGTTAACTTAATGTGACCTTTGCCCTTATTTACCAGGTTCAGGGGTCATGGCCTTAGTTTTGACAAACATGGATTTGGGTCGGGGTTTGCCTCCACTACTGCTGTCCCTCTTCTTGACCCGAGGTTTAGGGGGCGTGACCTCCTCCTCCTCCTGTTTTTTCTGCAGATATTGCTGGAAGATTACCTCCCTTCTAGCCTTCTCTTCAGCTTTCTTTCTCTCCTGCTCTTCTTCCTTCATCCTGGGGAGTTGGTTTAGCAGGAGTCAGGTTTAGCAAGAGTCAGGTTTAACAAGAGTCAGGTTTAGCAAGAGATAGTTTTAGCAAGAGTCAGGTTTAGTAAGAGTCAGGTTTTGCAAGAGTCAGGTTTAGTAAGAGTCAGGTTTAACAAGAGTCAGGCTTAGCAAGAGTCAGGTGTAGCAAGTCAGGTTTAGCAAGAGTCAAGTTTAGAAAGAGTCAGCTTCAATAGTTAATCTACAAGTAAAATGATCAGATGAGCACCAGAATAATCTTCTATCAGATGTGTTGTGATGAGTTAATTCTGGCTACTAGATCTAGATAAGTTACATGTACATTTTAATTTATTTAATCAGGCAGTTAATAAAAACATTTATATTCAGTGATAATGGCTAAAGATGTTAAAAGTTTTGCCTCTACTAAGTGTATTATTCAAACACTAACGCTGCTATGCCTTACATTTTCTCTTCCTGTTTTCTGGCTAGCTCCGCCTCTTTTTCCAACCTCCTTTTTTCTTGCTCTTCTTTCCTCTTCCTCTGCATCTCCATCAATTTCACTTTCTTTTTCTGCATCTCATCCTCATATTCCTGTAGATGACAAACATACATTTGAAACCAAAAACGTAAGACACAGCACTTCGCATACACAATTTAATCCAATACACTTGAAACCCATAAGTCATCAACTGGGCTGTACTGAAGTTTCTTTTGTACCCAAATCCTGAAGCTAATCCAGAATGATATTAGTAGAAAAAAGACACAGTAGTACATAGTCAACTTGGTTAGATTATAGCTTTAGGTACAGTAAAAAAAAAATGTCAACCAATTCAAAAGCATCAGTTGATTTTATTTTATTTTTTAGGGTCAACATATAACATAGGGTCAGTCCATAACTTCAAATAATAGGGTCCGTCATATAACTTAGGGCCAACAGGGAAAGTTCTATAAAAATATGGTTAGCTTCATTAAAACCAAGCAAACAGACAATTTAGTATAATTAAATTAGCTGTGAACATGTGGAAATTGAGCTTAATTAAATTTTAGCTGCAGACTAAAAAGTTGGAGCTTATCAGTCTGTCGATTGTTTAATGTACTTGTGCAATAATCTTACTTTCTTCCTAATACTAAAAATACTTTCATCATCATCATCATTTCTTGTTTGTGCCCAAGACACATGGGGCAGATGAAGTAGAGTTCATCTGCTTCAGAGACCTCGGGCATATGAAGGGATAGTGTGGTCAGCACTAAGCCCAGCCGCCTTTACTTTCCTTAAAGTGAGTTAGGTACCCATCAGAGCTGGGTGGACTCAGGGACGTTTCACTGATATGAATCCAGATTCTAACACGAGACTCTCAGGTTAGCAGTCTAGCCCTCTAACACTAGGCCACTCCGTTCCATAACAATACTTTAAGCTGCCTACAATAAAAACACTGAATGCACACAGACATGAATTAGTAGTAGCAGGTATGAAAATGGTGACGTCAAGTGAAACGGGTGAAGAAATAAACCAATCTTTACCTGATCTTTAACTCCAGCTACAGGTAATGCTGGGGGTCAATGGGTCAAGTGAAAGGGGTGAAGAAATAAACCAATCTTTACCTGATCTTTAACTCCAGCTACAGGTAATGCTGGGGGTCAATGGGTCAAGTGAAAGGGGTGAAGAAATAAACCAATCTTTACCTGATCTTTAACTCCAGCTACAGGTAATGCTGGGGGTCAATGGGTCAAGTGAAAGGGGTGAAGAAATAAACCAATCTTTACCTGATCTTTAACTCCAGCTACAGGTAATGCTGGGGGTCAATGGGTCAAGTAAAAGGGGTGAAGAAATAAACCAATCTTTACCTGATCTTTAACTCCAGCTACAGGTAATGCTGGGGGTCAATGGGTCAAGTGAAAGGGGTGAAGAAATAAACCAATCTATACCTGATCTTTAACTCCAGCTACAGGTAATGCTGGGGGTCAATGGGTCAAGTGAAAGGGGTGAAGAAATAAACCAATCTTTACCTGATCTTTAACTCCAGCTACAGGTAATGCTGGGGGTCAATGGGTCAAGTGAAAGGGGTGAAGAAATAAACCAATCTTTACCTGATCTTTAACTCCAGCTACAGGTAATGCTGGGGGTCAATGGGTCAAGTGAAAGGGGTGAAGAAATAAACCAATCTATACCTGATCTTTAACTCCAGCTACAGGTAATGCTGGGGGTCAATGGGTCAAGTGAAAGGGGTGAAGAAATAAACCAATCTTTACCTGATCTTTAACTCCAGCTACAGGTAATGCTGGGGGTCAATGGGTCAAGTGAAAGGGGTGAAGAAATAAACCAATCTTTACCTGATCTTTGACACCAGTTGCAGGTAATGCTGGGGGTCAAGAGGTCAAGGTAAAAGGGTGAAGAAATAAACCAATCTTTACCTGATCTTTGACACCAGCTGCGGGATCTTTGATGATGAAGCCAACACTAGGAGACCCATCCTCCCCGTACTCCAGTGTTTTCTGTGGCGTCACTGCTGGTGGGGTGTCCACTGCCGCCTGGGGCTGGACTGGTGTGACCTTTGCACTATCCTCTGGCGCTTTCATCTGAGATTTCGGTGTGCTGTCCCCAAACGAGACGAAAAAACCATCCCCCTCCCCTGAGGCTTCGAGCCCTGACTGATTAGTCTCAGATTTATTTAAAGAGGTATCAGACTTGCTGGTCTGTGGATTGTTCTGGAATGATGGCGTAGGTTTTGTCATAGACCCATGCATGTACGGCGCTTGCTGTGGTATCCCGTGGATGGGTCTAGGGTGTGGTGGGGCGGTGCCTGCGGAGGTCGAGCCGATGGCAGCTAGAGCATCGCTGATCCGAGGGTCAAACCCAGAGACGGGTGACTGCGCAGCTTTCAGCTGTTCATGCTGTAGAGACAGCCTCATTATCTCCCCCTGAAGCTCCGTCAAGCTGTTGTTGAGCTTGTCGAGGGAGGAGTCGTACTCTTGGTACTCTGGCTCTGGAATGGGCCGGGGGGATGAGGTTTGACCAGCCGGAGGGGGCAACGAGGCTCCGACAGTCAGGGGCGAGGCAGAGGACCCAGAGAGGGATGTTGAGTTGCTGGTGGGTCGAGGTGATGAGGTGGAGTTGCTCAAGGGAGATGTGTTGGCATTCAGGTGAGGAGACTGGCTTTGATCCCGGGGCGCGAGTAAATCCGAATGAAGTCTGTACGAGTCCACTTCCTCCTCACTGTCCCCTGCCACAATATCCGTACTGTTTTTAAACCACTTATTCTTGACATTGTCTATAGTCTGCTGAATGCCCTCCCTGGAGAAGGCTTTACTCCCAGGTTTAAGTCCAGAGTCCGCGTCACCAGACAACATAAATGGCGGCTGGTCAAGGTTCTCCGGCCGCTGGGAGGAGGAGCCAAGCTTGGAGAGGTTGGTCTGAGTCCTCCAGTCCGTGAATCTCTGGGCAGACATGTCAGGGGGGATGACGATCCCTCCCTGGATGGGTGGCCTGGTCAGGGGGAGCCTCTGTGTGGGGTGGCCCAGACGAGCCTGGAGCTGGGCTTGTGTGGACATCTCAGACCTGCTCGTGTCCTCCTCCTCCTCCTGATCCTCCCCTCCGTCCAGGTGTTTGGATACCACACGCATGAATGCAGCTTTACCTGAGGATTGGTACAACAACATTTTTTTTTAATTTAATTTAATGAACAAAACAAAAAATATACAAAATTCAGTGATCAAAATAGCAAGCAAACTTTTTTCTATTTCCACAAACTTAACATTCCAACATTAACACCAATGAAAATCTAGTTCTGGCCCTAACCATAGCCATCCAGAGAATACCTTGATTCATAACGGTATTGTTATTGCACATAAATAAAAAAATTCTGATAAATAATTTTTTTTTTTTAAACTTTACATTATATTGAAAAAACCCAGATTTAAATTACCTAATCATTCTCATCTTCGTCTGATTAAAACTTTCAAATCGCCTCATATTATATTGACAAGAGCCAGTTTAAAAATAACCAAATTAAAATTCCGCTACAAGTTATCTCAAAGCTTGACACATTGACAACAGCTAATTAAAAACTACCTAATCTTTGTCACATGTTTGATAAAAATTTCAAAATGCCTTAACTTATAATGAAAAGATCCAGATTAAACAAACTAAAATGAAACTGCTATAAATTCTGCTTGACACATTGACAACAGCTAATTAAAAACTACCTAATTGAACTTTTGCTACAATTTATCTAAAAGCATCACACATTGACAACAGCTAATTAAAAACTACCTAATTGAACTTTTGCTACAATTTATCTAAAAGCTTAACACACTGACAACAGCTAATTAAAAACTACCTAATCTTTGTCTCATGTTTCATAAAAATTTTCAAAATGCCTTAACTTATTTTGAAAAGATCGTTTAAAAAAACTAAAATGAAACTGCTATAAATTCTGCTTGACACATTGACACAGCTAATTAAAAACTACCTAGTCGTTGCCTCATCTTGGTCTGCTGTGCCTCCTGACGATGTTTCTTCCTCTCTATCTCTTTTCTCTTCTGCTCCAGCTTCAGCCTCAGCTGCTGAAGTTCTGATGACCCAGGGTCAGCGCCATTGACCTCTGGCATTGCAGTGCCTGGACTTGGTGGGGTACCAGCAACTAGTTGGCCTGGGGTATCTAAAATTCAAACACCATCAAAGAATGAGTTGATGAGTAACATTCAACATGAGAAGATGTTTTAAAGTGACCTATTAAAATCAAGAGTTAAACACACATAATAAACCTCTTTTGTATAAAAAAAATTGAAATACCATTCATATTTATTGTATACTAAGACCATAAAAAATGAGGAATATCATTTCTAATCGTATCATATTCAAGTTTGGTGATACAGTTAGAGAAAATATATTTTTAAATATTTATGGTGGTCAAATGTGTTTTACAGGAAAACCTAAATTTGTCTACAGAATGACATAATGCTGTCTTTTTCTTTTACCTATCTGACAAAGACTGACAGTTGAAACCTTATGAGACTTGGTTTTATTTCAAACTTTGATGTAAAAAGTTGAAACTTTTTGAGACTTGGTTTAACTATAAACTTTCTGAGTGAATGTAAAGTTGTGTAAGTACCTGAGTTGGGCTGTCCCTGGTTGACAAAGCTGGACTTGTGGTCACCAGCAGCCATTTTATCATAAGGCCCACCTTGGCTACCACTCTGCATGTATATCAGAGCAGAGTTATCCACCTTCAAATATAGAAACTATGTGAAGACATTCACACAGGCAGGCTAGGTCACAACTTACAGTAACACAAACATACCAACAAACTAGGTCACAACTCACATGAACACATTAACACCAACAAACTAGGTCACAACACACAACCACACCAACAAACTAGGTAAGGCGACAACACACCCAAAAACCAAGTAACAGCAACATGAACCCAGAGAGACCACAAAATTCACCTTATCAAGATTGAAACTCAGCTTGTCCTTGAGACGTTTCAGCTCAGCAAAATTTGTTGTCTGTGGGACTTTGATGAAAGCTTTGAGGTCATCACCTGTCTTTCCCATAGTAATGCCTACATCATTGACACGCTTGCTATTGTTGTTGATATTGCCATTAGTTAAAGTTGATTCTCGGATCTGTAGAGCAATGAAATTTTGTTAACAATGTTGTACTACATGTTTCTTGTTTACATGATAATGGCCATACCTGAACTCAAATGTTAAAAGATTATTAATATTAACCAAGAAACTTCTCATTCATATTTAAATAGCTGATCTTCTTTTTCTTCTGAATTCTTAATTTTAGTGTTGGAAGAGATTCCCTCCAACACAATTAAGAATATGTGTTAACTTGTTACGTGCCATTTAGGCCATTGACTCTGACTTCAGCCTGCTTTTCTTTTTGGATTTGTTTCCATAGCCTTTGTCCAACCAAGAACAAACAAGACAGCAGTTGTTCGATTTTGGAGTTGTCTCTCCTAGAAGAGTGGCTGTCCCCAGCTGTCGAGCCAAATCTGCCCTAGTGTTCGAACTCAAAGATTTTTCAGTTTAGCAACCATGAGCTTTACCGACTCGACCCTTAATAGCTGATCATATGTACAGCTAATTCCATATTCAATGTGCTGTGTTAACTATCTAAATATAAAATACTAACATCCAGGTGTACCATCATTGAGGTACGACAAATCAACCAACAACATATTTTTTATTTAAATTAGGATTTAAAATGAACAAATTATTTAACAGCACAATAAATTAAATCCATCTTGACTAATCTTAACTCTATCAATTGTTCTTGTTGCTTGGCTTACCTTGTGATCTTGATGGATCTTCTGTGATTCATGGTCCGAGTACTCCCCTGAGCTGGCCACACTTCCCTCCCTTGACCTTTCCCCTGTTGACCTTTCCCCTGCTGACCTTTCCCCTGCTGAGGTACCAACAAGAGTAGTGAGTTCTGTGCTGTCAGCTACAACAGGGATGCCAGCTGCCCTAGCTGCAGCTAGACTCACGCTATTCTCTACAGTATAGCTTTCAGCTGTGCTGGTCACTGTGTGATGGGATGTACACGAGTCAGCTTCAATTCAGTTAGCTGCTGTAGGGGTTAGTTGTTAACCTCTTCAATGGGTTAGTCGTTAACCTCTAATTGGTTAGTCATTAACCTTCATGGGTTATTTTAGCAGCTGCAGTTAGCTGCTGTGTGGGTTAGTTGTTAACCTCTTCAACGGGTTAGTCGTTAACCTTTATGGGTTATGCTAGCAGCTGTATGGGTTAGTTGTTAACCTGCTTCATGGGTTATGCTAGCAGCTGTGGGGTTAGTTATTAGCCTGCTTCATGGGTTAGTTATGCTGTATGAGTTTGTTAGTTACCTCAATAGGTTAGTCATTAACCTGTTTAAGTGATTTAGTCATTAACCAACTCTGTCTATGGGTTAGTCAATAACCTTCTGAATGGGTTAATCTAATTGTTTAACTTATCTGCTATTTGGGTTAGTCGTTAACCTGACATGTTTAACAGTTAGTTACAAATTACAGAAAAGTGTTTAAATCTACTTCCGTTAGGACATCAGTTGTAAATGTAGGTATTAATGTTAATGCACATAGTTACTTGCATCAACTTATATTGACAGTTTGTATGGAACAAACGGAACGCATCTAAACAATAACTACTGCACTGACTTACCACTTCTGACAGAATTAGGTGGTGATTCTGTTGCATTCAGGAGTTGTCTTTTCATGGCACTGTAACCAGGGGATTGATGTTCACCTGAAAATAGTCAACAGTTGTCTCCCTTACAACTCAGACTTATAAATAGTAGGCCAACATGTAAAAGCCTCTACCATGTGTGTTTACATCAAATAAAGTCATGTTAAAAGATTAGAACATGGCTAGTGATTATAAAAAACAGATGAAGTGTCTGACTAGGGGGCCTGACAATACAAAAACATGGACCAGGTTACGGATTATAAAAACTAATCATTATAAAAACATTTGACCTGGGTACAGGGACAAGACAAAAGGATAGACTAGTCTACTGTAAACTTTCATATCTGATATGGGGGTAGGGACAAAAGGATAGAATAGTTTACTGTAAACTTCCATATCTGACATGGGGGTAGGGACAAGACAAAAGGATAGACTAGTCTACTGTAAACTTTCATATCTGATATGGGGGTAGGGACAAAAGGATAGACTAGTCTACTGTTAGCTACAGGGACAAAAGGATAGACTAGTCTACTGTTAGCTACAGGGACAAAAGGAGAGACTAGTCTACTGTTAGCTACAGGGACAAAAGGAGAGACTAGTCTACTGTTAACTTCCATATCTATCCTGGGTACAGGGACAAAAGGATAGACTAGTCTACTGTTAGCTTTCATATAGGACAAGACAAAAGGATAGACTAGTCTACTGTTAATTACAGGGACAAAAGGAGAGACTAGTCTACTGTTAACTTCCATATCTATCCTGGGTACAGGGACAAAAGGATAGACTAGTCTACTGTTAGCTTTCATATAGGACAAGACAAAAGGATAGACTAGTCTACTGTTAATTACAGGGACAAAAGGAGAGACTAGTCTACTGTTAATTACAGGGACAAAAGGAGAGACTAGTCTACTGTTAGCTTCCATATCTATCCTGGGTACAGGGACAAAAGGATAGACTAGTCTACTGTTAGCTTTCATATAGGACAAGACAAAAGGATAGACTAGTCTACTGTTAATTACAGGGACAAAAGGAGAGACTAGTCTACTGTTAACTTCCATATCTATCCTGGGTACAGGGACAAAAGGATAGACTAGTCTACTGTTAGCTTTCATATAGGACAAGACAAAAGGATAGACTAGTCTACTGTTAATTACAGGGACAAAAGGAGAGACTAGTCTACTGTTAACTTCCATATCTATCCTGGGTACAGGGACAAGACAAAAGGATAGACTAGTCTACTGTTAGCTTTCATATAGGACAAGACAAAAGGATAGACTAGTCTACTGTTAATTACAGGGACAAAAGGAGAGACTAGTCTACTGTTAACTTCCATATCTATCCTGGGTACAGGGACAAGACAAAAGGATAGACTAGTCTACTGTTTCCATATCTGACCTGGGGGTAGGGATGAGATAGTGGTCTCCTCCGAGGAAGATGAGCAGATGCTGAGATCAGGGTTTGACAGTGCTGCTGTAGGTTTCTGCTGCTGTGGTGACTGCAAGGCTCTGGGTGATGATGGCTCTAATGGTGAAGACACTTTTTTCCTTCTGTGCATTCTAGATAACAAAACATTTTTTAATCGGTCTACACAGTAAAAAAACCAAAATAAACTTTTTATAAAGTAAAGTTACCCTTTCAAAGCTGTAAGTTCACCTGTTTCTGTGATCTCAGTATATGAATGGATAGTGTGGTCAGCGCTATGCCCAGTTGCCTTTACTTTCCTAGGGGGTGTCATACACATTCGAGAATGGAATATAACTCAAGACTTTTGAGTTAGCAGTTCTAACAACCCTATGATTCCCCATTACTACTATTTTTCTTTTCAGACTTATCACCGTTTCTGTAATGCCTACAATTATCAAGCCAGGTACCTGTGGTCTCAAGTCTGGGAACCAAACTCAAGAAGTTCAGGTTGGTAGTCAAGTACTTTACCATGCCACCACACTCGCTACACAAAATAGTTCCACAAAATACTCTTGCTACTCCCAGTATTTTATCTCAGTGCCAATCAAATCAAATAGTTTGAGAGTTTAACAGTTCCATTACCTGTCCCCTCTCTCCTCTGCTTTAGACAAATTGACATCCTTTTCCTTAGTGGGTCTTAACACTGCTGGAATCAGAGGCTCCTGCCGTGAATGTGGTCTGTTGGTCAAGCGGTCAGAGACCTGCTGTGGACGGCCTGATGAAAGGCTCTCTAGTTCCATGTAGTCTGGGTGGCTGGGATCTAAGGCGCCAGTTTTTACAGGCCTGTACAAACATCATGAGAAGATAAAAGATGAATAATAATAAAGTGTTGGACAGAAGATAAAAGATGAATAATAACAAAGTGTTGGACAGAAGATAAAAGATGAATAATAACAAAGTGTTGGGCAGAAGTGTTGAAACTTCATTAGAAGATAAAAGATGAATAATAACAAAGTGTTGAGCAGAAGTGTTGAAACTTCATTAGAAGATAAAGATGAATAACAACAAAGTGCTGGGCAGAAGTGTTGAAACTTCATTAGAAGATAAAAGATGAATAATAATAAAGTGTTGGGCAGAAGTGTTGAAACTTCATGAGAAGATAAAAGATGAATAATAACAAAGTGTTGGGCAGAAGTGTTGAAACTTCATTAGAAGATAAAAGATGAATAATAACAAAGTGTTGGGCAGAAGTGTTGAAACTTCATTAGAAGATAAAAGATGAATAATAACAAATTGTTGGGCAGAAGTGTTGAAACTTCATTAGAAGATAAAAGATGAATAATAACAAAGTGTTGGGCAGAAGTGTTGAAACTTCATTAGAAGATAAAAGATGAATAATAACAAAGTGTTGGGCAGAAGTGTTGAAACTTCATTAGAAGATAAAAGATGAATAATAACAAAGTGTTGGGCAGAAGTGTTGAAACTTCATTAGAAGATAAAAGATGAATAATAACAAATTGTTGGGCAGAAGTGTTGAAACTTCATTAGAAGATAAAAGATGAATAATAACAAAGTGCTGGGCAGAAGTATTGAAACTTCATTAGAAGATAAAAGATGAATAATAATAAAGTGTTGGGCAGAAGTGTTGAAACTTCATGAGAAGATAAAAGATGAATAATAACAAAGTGTTGGGCAGAAGTGTTGAAACTTCATTAGAAGATAAAAGATGAATAATAACAAAGTGTTGGGCAGAAGTGTTGAAACTTCATTAGAAGATAAAAGATGAATAATAACAAATTGTTGGGCAGAAGTGTTGAAACTTCATTAGAAGATAAAAGATGAATAATAACAAAGTGTTGGGCAGAAGTGTTGAAACTTCATGAGAAGATAAAAGATGAATAATAACAAAGTGTTGGGCAGAAGTGTTGAAACTTCATTAGAAGATAAAAGATGAATAATAACAAAGTGTTGGGCAGAAGTGTTGAAACTTCATTAGAAGATAAAAGATGAATAATAACAAATTGTTGGGCAGAAGTGTTGAAACTTCATTAGAAGATAAAAGATGAATAATAACAAAGTGTTGGGCAGAAGTGTTGAAACTTCATTAGAAGATAAAGATGAATAACAACAAAGTGCTGGGTAGAAGTGATGAAACTTCATTAGAAGATAAAGATGAATAATAACAAAGTGTTGGGCAGAAGTGTTGAAACTTCATTAGAAGATAAAAGATGAATAATAACAAAGTGTTGGGCAGAAGTGTTGAAACTTCATTAGAAGATAAAAGATGAATAACAACAAAGTGTTGGGCAGAAGTGTTGAAACTTCATTAGAAGATAAAAGATGAATAACAACAAAGTGTTGGGCAGAAGTGATGAAACTTCATTAGAAGATAAAAGACGAATACACTGTAGTGCAGGACTTAGAAGAATTTTTCTATTAAAAAATGAGTGTTCCAAACCATTTAGTAATAGGCCCAATATCTTTGAGCAAAGTAAATCAGACTTACATTGTTAAAAAAGAATGAGAACAATTTAATTTAATTTCACAACTTGTAAGTAGTAGCAAGAAAGAATATAATTTTATTCAAAGTAAAATGGTATTAGTGTTGAGAAATATTTCTGGGTAGTTCATTTATTGTGAATAACATCACTTTGTTTCAATACTAATGTGGTAGAAGATACATCATGTAAACCATTTTACTGCTGTTTTTTACAACAGATAGGAGAGGGTCAAATCAGATACAGTGTTGCATAAAGAGGATGCAAAAAAAAATACAATCCAAAAACAATTAGCTATTTACAACTCAATAAAACAATTAAAATAAATATCTGACTTAGTACAGGATAACAAGTTATTCAATGGAAAAATTTGAAAGCACTCAAGGGAAATAACCAGTGGGGCTATTCAAGGGGAGATAACTGACAGAGCTACCCAAAGACATAGCTGGAGAGGCTACTCACGGGAGATATATTGTAAAGCTAGCCAAGGAGCTTTAAAACAAGTGAAACTACAAAATGGCGATTAATGAAACTACTCAAGGGAGATTAAGCTGGTGAAACCACCCAAGGGAGAGAACTGGTTAGAGTAAAAGGGAGACTACCTAGGCGGGGTTAGTGTAATTTATGGAGCAACCAACCTGGGAGTGTCTAATTCACTAAGATCTATGCTAAGACTAGTTTCTGCATTCAAACTCTGATTAAGTGCTGAGTCTATGCTGACATTTGCTAACAGATTTCCTGGACAGCCGTTTGGTGTACCCATATCCTCAGTCCTGAAGCATTGAAAGGTTGTTCTTATCACATACAATGTTCATTAAAACATGCAAACAGACATACAAGACAAATATATTCAAATTACAGTTTTCATTAAAACATCCGAACTGACATAAAAACATATAGAAATAACATTCTAATAACACAGTTTTTATTAAAAAATACATGCATATCCACATAAATAAACAGAACTGAACCATTGAAAAATTACAAAGAATTATTATAAAATAAGGCTTACATGTAAAATAGAAATAAAGAGGAAAGGATTTTCTAATTACACAGAATGTTCATAAAAACACACACACAAATAATGAGAAAAGGATTTTTACATTTTACACAGAATGTTCAATAAAAACATGCAAACATACATAAAATAGAAAAAAGCTTTTCTAGTTAAACATTAATAACCATCTAGACAGACACAAGTAAAGAAAGAATTGTGTAAAAGGCCAGACATTGCACAGACCTGTTGGCTATCCTCTGGTCATCCTGCCAGGCTATGACGGACTTGTGGATCAAATCCCTGTCCTGGGGTGAACTCAGAGACACTGTGCGACGCCCCCTCCTGCTGGTGGGTGGGGATGGGTTTTGACCCCCCTCTTCATGGGTGAAGCTGCGTCTTCCCCCTGTTCTTCTAGGGAGGAGGGGCTGGTGGGAACTGTGTAGGGAAATTGTTAGTTTTAGATTATTTATGCAAGTGTTAAAAACAAGGAGGAAAGATGTTTAAAAGGCATTTTAAGGTTCCTTTTGTCATAAGAGTTAAAAATGTAAGTCCAAAAAAGGTAGAAAAATACTGTTAAGAATTTTTTTTAATAAGGAATACAAATTTAAGTTAAAAAGAATTTTGAAAAAGTACTTGGTTGTTTGCTCATAAGCATTATAAAATTAAGGTAGAAATAGGCAAAATAGGCAGAAAAAAAAATATTTTCTAGTTGTTTTTTTTTGTTTATACATACAAAACTTTTTCCTTTCAATCCTTATAACAATAAAAACTTGAAACTGGATAGATAAAACTTACCTGGGGCTGACGACTGATGTGCGGTTCATGCCCAGATTGTTTGCTGTGTCTTCAAATGTCAGTCTCTGGAAGCTTTTCTTGGTTGCGCTACTTATCGCTACATTAGGCACAGACCCAAAGTTGCTTCTCTTGCCTGCAGGTGGCACTGTGATCAAATAAAATTTACATAAGCAAATATTAGTGAGCACATGATCTCTTTCACTATCACTTACATTTTTTCCTAAAAAGTTATCAAAAATGATTTCTCATGCAGGTTATGGACTAGTGGTTATGGAAACCACTTTATAAAACTATACTCCTAGCTGCTAGTTGCTATGAAAACCGACTAAACAATCAACTGACCATCTTTAGCCACAGGCCCTGCAGTGCTGCCATCAGCTGTCTGAGAACCAGGTCCTTCAAACACATAGAACAGGTCGGCCAGGAAGGTGAGGATGTTGATTTTCATGGTCTCGTGGGTGTACAGCAGGTCCTCGTAGGTCAGGTGGAAACATTTCCAGGGCAGGTGATTCCTGCAGAACTCCCCAATCTGACGCAAGTTGTACAAGGAATCTGCTATCCCAATGCTGTCTTTCAGACACAAATCTAAAAAGTCACAAAAAATAAAATAATTTGAACTAAGTTTTTAAAAAGTAAAGGAATAATTAGCAATGCTATACTTTTGAGTTAGAGAAAAAAAATATTATTTTACCTAAAAATAATCCCTTTTGATTATTTTTTAAAATTAATATTTTACCTAACAATAATTATTATTACACATTAAATAGATAATATATTTAAATAAAGAAAATAACAATTATTATTATACATGAAAATAAATAATATTTAAATAATAAAGAAACAGTATTTGATCTTCTGCTACACTGATTCAGTGAACAAGTGGCAAAGCTCACAACATACACAATCCCAAAAACTTAAATATACAAAACATGAAATACTTAGAACAAAACTAAATGAAACAAACACAGCCACACAAGACATCACCACAACTCTGATATAAAACCACCAAAAATATCTAAGTGAGCATCAGTACCTTGAATGTTGAGCAGCTCTGGTCTGTAGTAGGCTATGACAGCAGCAACACTGGTGCCATCACCAATATCCCTCATCAGATCTTCCAGCAGAGGGACCTGGACTGGCTCAGCTGGTCGGCCACTCTTGTTCTTGTTTACAAACTGCCAACAAAGATCATTGTTATAATCAAGCTTCATCCTGTTGGCTTGTTTACTAGTCACATTTCAGATGAATAATAAACACTGCATTCTTAGTTCTTGAATTCATAGTAATATTCACAATTCATAGTAATATCTATATAATAGTTTTAATATTCTGTCTGTAAAAAATGCTCTATAAAAAACATAAGGAAATTTAAAAGTTGCACAAACAATACTCAATAATGATGACATCATCAACACTTGATAATAAAGACCTAAAATTTTTGTCTTATTTTTTAAAGTGGTCAGCATGCAGTGTTTCTTTCAAGCCTATCTTTTTGTGAGGGGGGGGGGGGGGGAAGAAGTATTTATTTTCTATATAAATTCTATTAGGTTCGAGGGGGTGGTAGAAAACAAACCTGAGCACCTACCTTAGAATCACCTGAAGACTCAGTGGGTGTCCCCAATACAGTACAGACTTTATTGATCCAAAACTTTAAAGCTTCTTCTGGGGAACTAGGCAATTCACTAGAGGCTGCAAATGTTGTAAGGTTTCTGTAGGGAAGAAATAGTTTGAGGTTATACGAGGCAAGTCACTGAGGTTGTGTAAGGTATGTTAATTTTTTTATTGTTAGGTTTCTGTAAAGAAATAGTTTGAGGTTGTACGAGACCTGACTGAGGTTGTGTAAGTTATGTTAATGTACCATCAAGACAATGTTAAGCTGCACTACTTAAACCAACCACTCCACATTAACTACACTCTAACCCTCACCTGACAGCTTTGACCACCTTCTCAACACTAGCAACTTCAGTGATGTAGGCTCGCATCAAGGCATCAATCAAGGCTATGTGAGCTTTCTATGTTGACAAGAACAAATATGTGAATCAGTACAGACATACATACAATAATCATGCAAGTATTCAACAGGGCATTAGTAAAGATGCCACCCACCTAACAGTAGTAAAACAAATTTGATCATTTCAGCATAGAATTCAATTAACCAAACACACCAAATGTTACACAATCTCAACAAAAGACACACAAAGATGCCACCCACCCTAACAGTGGTAAAAACAAATGTGATCAATTTCAGCATAGAATTCAATTAACTAAACACACCAAAATGTTACACAATCTCAAGAAAACACACAAAGATGGCCACCCACCCCAACAGTGGTAAAAACAAATGTGATCAATTTTAGCATAGAATTCAATTAACCAAATACACCAAAATGTCTCAACAAGACACACAAAAATGGTCACCCACCAACTTAAATGGGGCTGTCTGAACTAGAACAGTTTCTGTGACTGAAGTCTCATCAGAAATATAAATCCCTTTCCTTGACAGTACTTGAATTATGCTCCAGTGTCCTGTATATATAGGGAAGAGAATTACAACTTCAAGGGAGAGAATTTAACAGCTCAAAGGGAGATAATTATAGCTGACATGGTAACAAAATTGCTTTATGCATTACATAAAAAAATAGCTAAGATAATAGTATATGCATAAATAGTATATGTAGTATATGTATAAATAGTATATGATAAAAGTATATAATAGTATATGTTATGGCATGACTCTACACATTTGCAATCAATATACAATTATAATCACACATTGGTTTATACAATGTATGTAGTATAACTTTGCCAGCTGTTTGTAATCTGCACTAGTAAAACAAGCCGATTGGTTTTGGTCAGTGTAGTCAATTACTTTATTTACCAAGTGTTTGCATAATGTAAGCCATTTATTTCTTGCTCCATATATTTAAGTAAACTAATAGATTTGGATTAGGCAGTATAGTGTGATTGATTCAATTTTGATAATATTGATTAACAAATCAATTTAGGACTATTAAGTACAAGTGATTGAATTACAGCAATTAGGCATCAGTTATTGAACTGGGGCAATTAGCTGCTGGTCATACAACTGCTTTGGACAATGAGTTATGTATGGGATGATGGGGTTGGATGGAAGAGCTTACAATTGCCAAGTTGACATTAACAGGTTTGAATCCTGAGCTCTAGTCAGCATGACATCCCTGAGTCCACCTAGTTCTGATGGGTACCTGACCTAAGTTAGGTAACCTACTATCCCCTTGTATGCCAAGGTCATTGAAACAGATGAACTCGACTTCATCTGCCTCATGTGTCTTGGGCACATGGAAACAGATGATGATGTTGATGTATCTGGTTAGTGACCCATAACTTACCCCGCCCCATGTGTGTAGGGCACTAACAGGAAAAGATGATAAGGTATCTGGGTAGTAACCCATAACTTACCCCGCCACTGGGTGTGCATCTCAGGAAACATTCTGCTACAAGCCTGGCAATACAGCTCACTAGAAGACATGTAGTTGACCATCACTGGCCGCAGAACTACTTGACCCTGGACACAGTGGAAACAAGTGAATTACAGGGTTTGATTAGTGACTGTATGACATTGTAACATTTTAATCTGATATATTAAGCTTAATCAAAGTTAACACATTAAACTCATATGTTAAACATACAGTTACATTATGTTCCATTAAGCAATTGAAAAAACTCCATGGTAATTTTGTTGTTCTTTAACACATGCCACAACCTTGACTTAAACACTATATCTAACAATGAGCTTTCAATAGTGAAAAACATACTTCTGAGTTTTGATAGAATGGATCTTGTAACTCCTTGGGGACTTCACTTCCATGCACTTTAGATAGAAGCCATGCCAAAGAGGCTCGCAACTTTGCCTGTAAAAAACAATAATAAACGGGTCAGCAAAAAGGTATATAATCTGTCAAGGAGGCTGTCAACTTTGCCTGAAAACAACAATAATAAACGGGTCAGCAAAAAGATAGATAATCTGTTAAGTAGGAGCATATTTGCCTGAAAACAACAATAATAAACTGGTCAACAAAAAGATAGATAATCTGTCAAGGGTGCTGTCAACTTTGCCTGGAAACAAAAACTGGTCAACAAATCATAGATGCTTTTCCAAGGAGACTGTCAACTGCATGGAAACAACAACAAAAAAAGGGTCACCAAAGAGGATTTTTTGGGCCTATTTTGCATATGATAAAAATTTTATGTAAACAGAGTTCTAGGTAGATAAGATTAAGCATGTTTTAGTATCTACTGATCAAAGAGATATTCTACAGTATTTAATACCCAAAAAAAACCTTGATTCTTTCAAAATCTATCAATAAACAGCATTCAGCTTCATTGTTAGTTTTCAAAGTACCATGAAAAAAAAAGCTTTTAACAAAAAATGTGATCTTTTAGCTGTAAAAATACAATGAGCTTAGCTAAACAAATGCAGCTATTAAACTGTCAACTAATTACATTTTAATGTAAAGTTTTAAAACTTGCTTTTTAACAAAAATTTAAATTCTTTCATTTTTTTTATTTTTTTTACTGCAACAACAATGACAAAGATGTATCCAACATACCAAAAACTTACACCAAATTTAAAATTGTGAATGTGTATGTATGTGTCTTCAATAAATAAAAACCCAGACAAGACAAAAGCAATACAAAACAGAAGTAGAATGATTAAGGTGAAGGATAAACTAACCATTTCAAATACCTCTGTATGGTCAACTGTTTCTTCATCTAAACTATCTATACCATCATCAGAGCTGCTGCACACTTGGCTTTCATCTTCATCTAAGCTATCAGCTTCTATACAGTCCAGCATCACTCTACTCTTCATCTTTTCTACACAGTAGGTTTCTATCAGGTTCAAATGTTGTTTCCTTAGATCAGTGCTTTGGGGTGCACTTAGAGAAACTGGTTCTGTGTTACTTTTTGGATATTCCAACAAACTATCCATTGGCTGTGTCATTAAACTATCCATTGGCTGTGTCATTAAACTATCCATTGGCTGTGTCATTAAACTATCCATTGGCTGTGTCATTAAACTATCCATTGGCTGTGTCACCAAACTATCCATTGGTTGTGTCATCAAACTATCCATTGGTTGGATCGCCAAACTATCCATTGCCATTGGCTGTGTCACCAAACTATCCATTGGATATGACATCAAACTATCCATTGGTAATGAAATACTGTTATCCACTGAATTAGTCATTAAACTATCCATTGGTGATTTCATCCAGCTATCCATATCCAATGGCGGAACATTAAAGCTATTTACAAATTCTGAGCTAGTTTCAACATGGTTATTACTTTGTCGTAATGTGTTATAGGGGAAAGTCAATTCTGGGGTAACAGAATCATTTGTTAGGGTCAAATCACAACAATTAAACTTTTGGGGATCCGAGCTATTTGTTGGGGTCACGTCATAACAATTTAAGTTTTGGGGATCCGAGCTATTTGTTGGGGTCACGTCATAACAATTTAAGTTTTGGGGATCCAGGCTATTTGTTGGGGTCACGTCATGACAATTAAAGTTTTGGGGAAATGAACAATTAAAGTTGTTAGGAACCAGAGTTTCTGTAGGGGGGACATAAAAACTTTGAGAAATTTGAGAAACAACTACAGATGGATTCAGTTTATAATCTCCGCTTGTCTGAGGAACAAGGGTCGTGTCACCTTTTGAAATCTGGGGAACTAGACTATCACCATTTAATCCTTGAGGAACAAAACTATCAACAGGGGTCAGGTCACCATGTAATCCTTGAGGAACCAGACTATCAACAGGAGTCATGTCACCGTCTAACCCTTGAGGAACGAAACTATCAACAGGGGTCATGTCACCATCTAATCCTTGAGGAACCAGACTATCAACAGGGGTCATGTCACCATCTAATCCTTGAGGAACGAAACTATCAACGGGGGTCATGTCACCATCTAATCCTTGAGGAACCAGACTATCAACGGGGGTCATGTTACCATGTAATCCTTGAGGAACGAAACTATCAACGGGGGTCATGTCACCATCTAATCCTTGAGGAACCAGACTATCAACGGGGGTCATGTCACCATGTAATCCTTGAAGAACGAAACTATCAACAGGGGACATGTCACCATCTAATCCTTGAGGAACCAGACTATCAACAGGAGTCATGTCACCGTCTAACCCTTGAGGAACGAAACTATCAACAGGGGTCATGTCACCATCTAATCCTTGAGGAACCAGACTATCAACAGGGGTCATGTCACCATTTAAAATCTGGGGAACCAGACAATCAACAGGGGTCACGCCACTATTATGAAGACTGGGGTTCCCACAGGTAAACTCCCCAGAGTCCAGCTGACACACCTGATGCACATGCAGCAGATACTGCGCACCTAACTTGCGACCATCAACCATGGACCGGTCAGTCCTGGTCAGTGTTTGCCACTGGTCATCTGACGAAAAAGTTAGGCTGTTGATCTGATGCATGTCTTCATAGTTCACCCAACTTTGGGTGTTCTCGTCATTATCTTCACAGACCATGTTAGCTTTAGGCTCAATGTTAGTACCACCCTCTACACCCAGACTGTCAGTGTAGTGATTCCTTTGGTTGAGTAACAACTCAAGAGAAGAACTGTTACCAATGTCAAGGCTATTATTTAAATAACCAAGCAAAGAATTCTGGGATTGGTCTATCAAGGAAAAACTATTAGAACTGTGAAAACTATCATTGGCATAGAGACTGTTAGAAAACTGGGTATCATCTTTTATACAAAGACTATCTGCTAGATAGGAGTCTTCATGGATAAAAATATTATCAGAACACTGAAGATCCTCACCAATGACCATCATAGAATCATATGCGAAACTATCACTAGAGATAGTGAGAGAATCATCCTTTTTACAATCCATATGTACAGGCTGAGAATCATCCTTGGCACAATCATTATGTTTAATTTTATCAACTCCATCTTGGTGTACATCTACATGGTCTGTAGTGTCACATAATGAATGTTCGAATAAGCCAAGGAAGACCATTTCTGTAAGCACTGGTGGATTAGCTAATCCATGTACACTAGAAACCAGCTGATCTGCTATAGATAATCCCTTCAAAACAGAAACTGGCTGGTCACTTTCAGATAATCCTTGTGTAGCAGAAAGGGGCTGGTCACTTTCAGCTAATCCTTGTGTAGCAGAAACTGGCTGGTCACTTTCAGATAATCCTTGTGTGGCAGAAACTAAAAGGTCACTTTCAGATAATCCTTGTGTAGCAGAAACTGGTTGGTCAATTTCAGATAATCCTTGTGTAGCAGAAACTGGTTGGTCAATTTCAGATAATCCTTGTATAGCAGAAACTGGTTGGTCAATTTCAGATAATCCTTGTGTAGCAGAAACTGGTTGGTCAATTTCAGATAATCCTTGTGTAGCAGAAACTGGTTGGTCAATTTCAGATAATCCTTGTGTAGCAGAAACTGGTTGGTCAATTTCAGATAATCCTTGTATAGCAGAAACTGGTTGGTCAATTTCAGATAATCCTTGTGTAGCAGAAACTGGTTGGTCAATTTCAGATAATCCTTGTATAGCAGAAAGGGACTGGTCACTTTCAGCTAATCCTTGTGTAGCAGAAACTGGCTGGTCACTTTCAGATAATCCTCGTGTAGCAGAAAGGGACTGGTCACTTTCAGATAATCCTTGTGAAGCAGAAACTAAAAGGTCACTTTCAGCTAATCCGTGTTCAGCTAATCTTTGTTCAACTAAACCAAGCTTATCTTGATTCACAGAAGCCAGTTCATCTTCTAAAGCTAATCCCTGTATAGAAGAAACCAGCTGATCCCTATTGGCAGGAACTGTCTGTTGGCACTGAGCTGCGACTGGCTTATCCCCTGGGGCTAATCCCTGTTCAAGCTGTGAGCATCCAATGTTGTCTCTAGCACCTTGAGAAGATGAAAAAGTGTTAGACATTTTATCTGACGTTCTGCTTGATAAGTCATCTGTCACTGTGTTTGACAGTTCATCTGTCACTGTGTTGGACAGTTCATCTGTCAATGTGTTGGACAGTTCATCTGTCACTGTGTTTGACAGTTCATCTGTCACTGTGCTGGACAGTTCATCTGTCACTGTGTTGGACAGTTCATCTGTCAATGTGTTGGACAGTTCATCTGTCACTGTGCTGGACAGTTCATCTGTCACTGTGTTTGACAGTTCATCTGTCACTGTGTTGGACAGTTCATCTGTCACTGTGTTTGACAGTTCATCTGTCACTGTGTTTGACATTTCATCTGTCACTGTGTTGGACAGTTCATCTGTCACTGTGTTGGACACATCAGCATCCTCCCTAAAGCCAGCACCAGTAGCCATCCCGTCACCACCCTGACTGTCCACCACCTCCCAACCTAGTGTGTCTGTCCTACCACCATCTCTACCCCTCCTCTCCTGCTCTACAACACCCTGCGCCATACCAGGACATGTATTTTCTTCTAGACTTTGGACAGCCTTACTGTGTTGTTCTGTCTTTTCATCAGACTTATCTATTTGGGCTCCTATTTGTTCTTCAGGTTTTAATTCTTGTTCTACATCAACTTCTACAAAGGCTTCTAATTCTTGTTCTACATCAGCTTCCACTAATTGTTCTACATCAACTTCTACTAATTCTTTATTTTCTTGTTCTACATCAACTTCTACTAATTGTTCTACATCAACTTCTACTAATTCTTTATTATCTTTTTCCTCATCGACTTCTAGTAATTCTTTATTTCCTTGTTCTACATCAACTTCAACTAATTGTTCTACATCAACTTCAACTAATTGTTTATTATCTTCTTCTACATCAACTTCAACTAATTCTTTATTTTCTTGTTCTACATCAACTTTAACTAATTCTTTATTTTCTTGTTCTACATCAAATTCTACTAATTTTTTATTTCCTTGTTCTACATCAACTTCAACTAATTCTTTATTTCCTTGTTCTACATCAACTTCAACAAATCCTGAAGTCATCATTTCTTGTAAATACTTTTCTATTGGACCTACTAGTATGTTAACTAGTCCACTCTCGTTGTTTGCGATTTTGTTACCATTGTCTTCATCATATAGTGTTATTGCCATATCACCTAAAGATCCTTTGTCTTCATCATGTAGAATTAACCCTATATCACCTAACGATCCTTTCAATCCCCTGCTGTTATGATTGTATAGCCTGAGTTCCTGCAAGATATCTGGCACCACATGTCCTTCTATATTTCTTCCAGAAAATTGTGGGTAAGTTTCTTCTATGTCCATCTCTCCATTATTGTTTATGGTCTTTGTCTCTATCATTGTGTCACAATGTTCAACTTCAGTTTTCTCTACAATATTGTCATTGTTATGCTGAATTATTTTACTATTGGAACTTTCCTTTGAAGTTTCTACATTTTGTTTAATTGGTTCCCTACTATCTAATGTTCCCCTAGTATCTTCTACATTTTCTTCTGTTGTGTGTTGTTGAATTGGTTCCCTACCATCTAATGTTCCCCTAGTATCATCTAGATTCTCTTCTGTTGTGTGTTGTTGAATTGGTTCCCTACCATCTAATGTTCCCCTAGTATCATCTAGATTCTCTTCTGTGGTGTGTTGTTGAATTGGTTCCCTACCATCTAATGTTCCCTTAGTAACATCCAGATTTTCTCCTGTAGTGTTTACACTTTGTTCCGTACAACCCAATGTTCCATCAATACCTTCAAGACTATGTGAACCTATTATACAACTCACTAGGCTATGTGTACACAGGTCTCTCTCTTGTACCAACTGTTCAGCACTGTCTACCCTGTCAATCCTACACCCAGTCAAGGGCTGCTCCACCAAATGGGTCTCAATGTGTTCTGTTTGCTCTACATTATTGTCTGACATTCCTCCATTGCATCTTGAGATAGAAGTACATGTGCCGCCATTTTCTGAGATTCCTCCATCCAACCTTGAGATAGGAATACATGCGTTACTATCATTGTCTGACATTCCTCCATCTGGTCCTGAGATAGGAATACATGTGCCACCATTTTCTAAGAATCCTCCATCTAATCTTGAGATAGGAATACATGTGCTACCATCATCGACTCCGTAGCCTGGGGTTGCTATGGCAAGGTTGGGTGAAGATGACACAACATCAATATTGACTGACTGTGTCTCTATCTGGGAGTGACAGCTGACACAGTACCTAGTGACTTCTCTACACACTGACACATCAACTGCTGGGGTCTCAACACACTGGACCTGACTGGTCAGAGCACACAAACCTTGACCTGTGAGCTCACCCTGACCTTGGGGTGCCAGTGCACCATGACCTTGACTGGCCAGCGCACTAGCCTGTAGACACTGAATGGACACCTTGTTGCCAGACGTGGTCTGCTCCAGCATAACCTGGTGAAAAGTGTCCGGCGCCAGACAGGTGATGTGAATGTCTGTCAGGTGAGGCACGC